AGCCCTAGTCATTGCTATGATTAAGCTGAACACAGTTCTGCACAAACTGAATTCTGTGTGTGATGTCTTTTCTGTCATATTGACATGGAAAATGAAGACCAAGAAGTAAGCCATTTTGTTCTGAATGGAAGTTTAATTTTCCTATTCTTTCTAAGAATATATTAAGTAACAAAAAGCCACTGTATCTACTTGACTAGATTTTAACCAAAGCTATCTCAAAAACAATTTCTCCGAGCACAACAGGTGCATCTAAAAATAAAATTTAATAAAATGAAGACACACAATATAGAATTACAAACTGCATTTACTTGCTCTATGAAAGTAAATATTTATTTTTACTTTAAATATATTTAAAGTGAATACATTTACTTTAAGAAAATGTCTTTTTTCTGAAATATGTGAGGTCTTTTTTCCCCTATCACAAGCAGTGAGATTGCAACAGAGAGAATGAGATTGCAAGTGGTCACTGCTCTTCAAGAGTCCGTGGTGTTCTCTGCACAGTCACACAGCAGGAGACACCTTGGAGGTCTGCAAAAGGACTGTGGCTCTTCTCCTTTATTTTTCTATACAGCGTTCATCACTACTACTTTCCCAAGAGCTGCATTTGGCTTTATTATATACCCATGTCTGCATGTAGCTATATGAAATATTGATACTAGTCTCAGCTGAGTTTCTAATGAAAAGATAACTGGTATTCTATAATTTCCTTTTCACCCACCTTCCAACTGTCATGATACAGCTCACACACAGTTGGCCAATATCTGGCAGTGAGATTCTCTGCCTCCATCTGGGCTCTTCACAGCCACCGCTTACGGATCACAGAACACGTTCCCATCGTTCTCTCTCAATACAGAATTCAAAGCTCCCTGTGCCAAGAAGCCACTGAAGTAAGTTTAAGAGGTGAAACAGAATTAACTCCCTGACCTATACTTAGGTCCAGGGGGAAACAGAGCCTCAAAATACAGCTGTAAAATAGAATTATTTTGGCACTGAGGCATAATTCTGAAACTCAGCTAGATTTACCAAATGTGGAGGCCTAAAATTTGAATTTTATATAATTTCGAAGGGATGATTAGTCAGGAAGCCACATTTATACCTGTTCACAAATTGGCTATAGAGCATACATAGTAGAAAGGAAAAAGTTAGTTAACAAATTCAAGGCCTTTGACTATCAGTTTAATTAACAAATTCAAGGCCTTTGATTATCAGTGTGCTACTTTATAAAGATAGTATCAAAATCATTTCCTCAGAGGAGGATTCCTTGGCAAATAGAATGAATGAAATCATCCACACTGATACATGGAATACTTGTCTCAGGATAGGGCAACCACACATATCAATTCCCTTCAGAGAACTGTGCAAAAAGCTAGTGAAATTGTGATTAACTCACTAATAAAATCAGGAGAAAAGCACCTCCTTATTTTTTTATAGATTCACATATTTGAATAGCTCCACAGATAGATAGATAGATAGATAGATAGATAGATAGATAGATAGATAGATAGATAGATAGACAGACAGACAAAGGTATATAAATAGAAAGATTATGGGTAAAAATAGAAAAATATATAATAGGTAGATGATAAATATCAATGATTTTCTCACAGTTATTGACAGCGCATCATTTGTTCAAATATTCACATACATATTGTCACAAAATACCTGACCAATGAAGTGCATAAGAAAATTTGGGGTTCATAGTCCCAGGGTACAGTGCAGCATGGCTGGGAAGTCATGGTGGCAGGTGTCATGCTGTATCTGAAGACAGGAAGGACAGAGATGACTGCTCACGCTCCTCTGAGCATCCTTCTTTTCACACAGTACAGACCCATGTTCTTAGAATGGTGCTTCCCGCACTCAGAGTAGTCCTACTTCTATTTCGCTCATGTAGAAACTCCCTCATGGCCTTGCCCAGAAGTTCATTGCCTATGTGATTCTAGAGCCTACAAAACTGATAATCATTATTAGCCATCACATAGTACATTTTACGACTATTAGAATTTAGGTTGTCCACGTGGCAGTTGGACTAATGAAAATAATAGCCTCTCTAGCCCAGTATTTCAGCAGTATTTCTCCATAAATATCTGTGAGTCGCATTTCACATGAATGGAGCATCTCACAATATCTCCATGAATGGTCACAATTCATCTGAAGAGAAAGGAAGACCTTATTTAGGGGTGGTGAAGGGTAACGACCCCTGATTGATCGTCAAAATCATACCAAAAGTTCACCTGTACCTTTTGTTATTTTATATAGTACCAAGATTTTCCCCTGAAATACCTTTAGTAGGACAGAAAATTAATAAAGCTCTACAATGAAGTGAAGAGATGGCATGAGAAAAACAATACAAGTTGTATAGAAGATACTCCAATTGGCCAGGTCAGGGTAAAGTGTCCTATGTCCCTGAAGCTCAGGGAGGCTGGCTACAGGTCTATGAGCATTAGGTGTAATTAGAAACTTCATAAAAGCCACACAAACCCTTGGATGGGTTCATTCTGAAAACCCAATTAGGCATCAGCGAGGAAAGAATCCTAAAGAGTAACTGAAAGGGTGGAGACATATACATAGCGCATTTGCCTAGCGCGCACGAGGCTCTGGATTCAGTCTCCAAGGATGTTAAGACAAACAAATCAGACGGCCTAAATGAAAGCCAGTTTACAAGTTAACATAGGATAATGCCATCATTGAAAGCCTGCATCGTTTTTATTCCAAAATACTGGAATCACTTCAATGGAAAAGTATTTGAGTGGTACATGGTATCACTATGAGCAATATCATTAATCATGAGGGACCTGCCAATCGGAGCTATAATAGTATCACTTCAGCTGGCGGGTATTCTAACATTTGAAAACGCAGGCAAAGCATAATTTCCTACTATATTCTGAATCCTATCCGTATAGGCACAGATAAGTATAGAACCACCCCTCATCAAAGAAGCTTCTCTTTATAGCAAAAGGAAACAATTACATAAAAACACAATGCAAAGACTCATGCACAGCCCAGCCCCATGGGATAGATATTTTAGCCCTAATATCCATGGACTATCAGGGAAGGGCGTGTGTGTGTGTGTGTGTGTGTGTGTGTGTGTGTGTGTGTGTGTGCGCGCGCGCGCGCACCAAAGAACAAAAACAAGGAAGTCTGTGAAAGTTTCCCCTAGATATGGCTGCATAAAAAAGACCAGAACAACGGCAATATTAATCAAATCAGCAGTCTAATATTAAATGGGAAAAATCTTCTTAGGATCCTACTCCTAGATAAAGAACTCCAGACAACTACTGATTGCTGGGAGAACACTTTCTCCTGGCGAGGAGCCTCCTTATTGGTTGTCTAATGCAGAGTAGTCACAAAAATAGACTCAGCAGGTTATATTTATATATTTGTGTATACATACACATGTATGTATATATTTGAGAGACAATAATAATAACACAGCAAGAGGCTAGATTTTGACATTTTGTTGCCTGCCTTTTAATATCTATAACTGAAATAGAATGGCATCATTTTCCCCATCTGTTTTCTCCCTCCAGACTCTCCCAGGTACCTTTTCTTCAACTATTCCCATGACCCCCACTCTCAAGTTGATAGCCTCTATTTCTTTTATTGATATTGTACACACGCATATATATTATGTATATACATGAATAAATTCCCTTTAATGTATTAATTAATACGTATCTATTAAAGCGGTTTACAGGATGTGGTCCCAGTAGTACAGCATGAGCTGTCTCCCAGCAGAAAGGCCAAAAATCTTGTACTTTTTCAGTCTATGAGATTGTAATCAAGATTGAAAAATAACCAGAAAATCACTATGCCAGAAAAGGGAATTCACCAAGAAGTGCATAAATATAGTTACTTGATAATTGACAAAGTAACAAAGGGAATAAAATGACCAAAGACACTCTTTAAAATAAAATTAATTAAAACAAGAGCCTTATATTTTTTACAAGTATTAATTCACAATAGATGAGATCTAAATTATTGTAATATGCAAGACTACAAAAGCGTTACCTTTAATGTAAGCTAAAACACAGGTGATCTGCGGTCTTTTAGGTATCAAATATGAAAGGCATGAGCCACGCAGATGCCATAGATGGAAGAAAATATTCTCAAAGACATAGCTGAGAACTGTTTTCCAAAATATAAAGAAGAATTCTCAAAACTCAGCATAAGAAAATGAACAGCCTTTCCTAGCACCAACATGATACTAAACAGGGAAAACTACAGAACAGTTCCACTAAAATCAGGAATGAGAGAAGAGAGTTCATGTTCCCCACTCGAACACAATGTAGACCTTGAAGTTTCAGGTAGAGCAAGAGGACAAGAAATAACGGGGATAAAAATAAAGGGCCTGGAGAGATGGCTCAGCAGTTAAGAGCACTGGCTATTCGTCTGGAAAACCTGAGTTCAATTCCCAGCAACCACATGGTGGCTGACAATTGTGTATAACTCCAATTTCAGGAGATTTAACACACTCTTCTGGCCTCTGTGAGAAGAGTGTATACATAGTATACAGACCTATAGGCAAGCAAAGCACTCACACACATAATTTTTTTAAATCACTTTTTTTGAAAAAAGGGTTAAAAATGGGACATTAATAAGTCAAATTATTTTTTTATTTTCAAATAACATAATCTTGTATATGAGATATCCTAAGGGCTCTACCTGAAAACTTTGAGAATAAACCCCCTCAGCAAAGTACAAAAATAAAAATATCATCTTGTCTCATTCCAGCCAAAATGCTTATTAAGAAAGCAAAGAGCAACAATTGCTAATGAAGATGAGGAGAAAAGGAACCCTTATACACTGCTATCAAAAATCATTATGAAGAAATATGACTGTCATACATCCCAGCTCTACCACTCTTGGATATATACCCAGAACACTGCAAAGCATCCACGAAGACACGGGCACACCCACCGTTATTGGACCACTATTTTCAGTGACGATATAAGACCAGTCTAGGTGTCCATCACCAGATGAACGGATAGAGAAAACATGGATTAGCAGACAATTGAGTTTTATTCAGCCATAAAGCAGAATGAAATTATGCCATTTGCCATAAAAGAAGTTAAACTGGAGTCATGTTATTATATGAAATAGTTCAGGTGCAAAAGATAAAAGGTATGTGTTCTAACATTTGTCATTTATAGAATTTATACACGCGTGTGCAAACACACACACACATGCACTCACCCATCTGTGCACATGTATATGACATAAGAGCAGAATGGGGAAAAGGCCCTCAACTGGTCAATATGTGGCAAATAAAAGACTGTGGTATTCATCCTTGAGTGGGAGCTCTACACAGCACACGCTGACGATGCTCAGGTATCACTGTGGAATGCAGGACAGAAAGACTGTGTGAGCCAAAGGCAGTGCATGACTACAGAGTGACAGTGTTTTCCAGCCACAAGAAGGCAATTGTGCTCATGAGCTCATGGTGACTGCAGCAGCATGCACAAGAGCACATCAAGATAAAAGAAAAATCCCAATATGGAGTCACCCTGAGTCCCAAGCCCTACCTGAGGAGCTGTTGGAAGTTGCCTGTTGCTAAGAGAGGGAGGGTCAGTTTTCTTTGAGGAGGTAGCCTCTGGTAAGTTACCCATGATCTAGTAGATGGCCCTACCCCCATGCACATACTGGCAGCCATTAAGTGGACTCATTGGGGAAGAAAATGGAACTTGGGGATAATAGTGGTGGGAGGTCTGAGAATATTTGAGAGGACTACAGTAGAGCATATTATGTGATTGTATGGAATTCTCAAACAGTACAAAAGTAAACAAATCATACTGTTTACTTTTAAATAAGTAAATAAATATACTCCCAACTATACCACGTTTCGAGAAGATAGGTGAGTGCTAGAGGCTAAAAGGAAAAGGGACTGTGTAAGCAGAACACTGAGGAAATTTTGAGCTATGGGACACTTCTGTGTCACACTGCAATGGAGGATGCATGTCACTATGGCTTTGTCACTCTGGTAGAATGTCCAACGCCCAGCATGAAAGCCAATGTAAAGTAAGGACTTTGGGGTATAATGATGCCAGTGCAAGCTCGGTGACTGTAACAAATGTGTCTTGGTCATACAGGATGTCTGCAGTGGCTATGCATAGACAAATGTGTCAGTAATATGGGCTACCCACAGTGAACGGGCTGAAAGTGTCTGCAGAACTCTTGAATTTCCTGTTCTGTATTTTGCTGTGAATTTAAACTTCTCTAAAAAAATAAAAATAAGTAAAAAACAACAAAGCTTATCACCATTTAAAGTATTTCTGATCGTGCTGGAAATTTTTGAAACGTCCTATGTTGCTAGCGGGAATGTAAAATGGTGCCATTTTGAAACAATCTGGCAGTCCTTCATAATGGGGAACAGAGGGTTGGCATGAGATAGAGACAGAATAGAGAGTCCAAAAGTTGCCCATGTCCTGATAACCACAGTCTGAAGCAAAGTCTCCTCCTACAACAGGTTAGACTGTAAGCGCACTCAGGTTAAGGTCATGAGAAGATTATCCATCCGTGTGCTGGTTGAACTAGGGTAACAGGAGGATATGGGAATCGAGCCCAGTTGTGACAGCAGCTACAGAAGCATGAACATCTGCATTCCTGTTTCCAGAAACCAGGGGATGTCGGTAGCTCGAGCAGGACAGAGGCACAGCACAGGCAGGTCGTTCCTGCGGACTCACAAGACAGTCCGCTTAGCCAGAACGGCGTGTTCCAGGTTCAGGGAGAGACGCCTCCTGAAAAGAAAACATACAAGGTAAAAAGCAAGGAAAGGGAGGAAAATCAGTGTCCTCAATGGACAAGCCCTTAGGTTGCCTGATCTCAAGTGGTCAGCCTTGGACATAAACACATATGAGCAAAGCTAAATGGATTCAGGAGGTTATTTGTGAGTGTGTGAGTGTGTGAGTGTGTGTGTGTGTGTGTGCGTGTATTAGCGTGTGTGCCTGGATTCAAATGTATGTGGCGTCTAGCTATAATAATTGAAGAGGATATCATAGGTCATAGGAACACCTAGAAGAAGTTGTAGGGAAGGAGGCAGGAGTGAGAGTGATACAGATGGAGTGCTCGTGCACAAAATTCTCAAAAAGAAAGTATCTTTTTAAGTTAAAAAAAAAAAACAGAGCAACTAAGGAAGATGCCAACCTCTGACCTATACACACACCTGCAGGGGTGAGCACATCTACCCACACAAACACAAGCACACACATGCATGTGTACACACACACCTTTATGAAGGAAAAGGGAGTTGCAGGAGAGTCGTAGAAAGAAGTTTGATGATGCGAGCAGAAACCACAGGGATCGGCAGACGGGATGCTACAGCAATGCCAAATCTTGGGGGTGGAGAAAGGTGTGTCCTGAAACCCAGGAATCCAGGAAAATCTTAAAATGAGGAAGATCTCGTTTTAACTCAGTCCTGATCTCTAGAACGTTGATGCCTAGAAGTGTAAAATAACATTTTAAAAAATGTTTCATTAACTAAGTTTGTAGTATGCTATGTGGGATATTTAATATGTTTATGGCAACGTTGTAAATCTAAAGCATCATATGACCCAACAATCCACTTTGATACATGCCCATGATAACTGAAAACATGTGCACACACAAAAATACAGGATGCATGTTTGCAGCATCATTTTTCATCATAGCCAAGGAAAAACAACTCAAATATCCATTCATGCATGATGGAAACACAATTGTTCTGTGTGCATATATGATGATAATTCAGTACTGGAAAGGAATGGAAGGCTGGGGCCTGCTAGAATATGAGTGGACTCTGCAAGCATAATCATAAGGAAAGAATCCAGAAACAACATGCTACAAATCTTATATCTTCATTTGTGAACTTTCCAGAAGTAGCAAATCTATAAAGACAGAAAATATGTAAGCGACTGTTAAGACAGTACAGGACAGACAATGGAACAAAACATGGTGACAATGGATCCAAGTTTCTAGGGTGTATGGTCACTGCTTGCACACCTTAGTAAACAGATTTAGCACAACTGAATCACATAATTTCTGAGACATCTTATGGAATGTAAATTATATGTCAACAAAACTACATAACATTTATGTAAGTATGTATATGCATTTAGTCAGTTCTTCATAATGTTAGATGCAGGGTTACTACATAATACAGATGAAATAATGGCACACCAGAATGCCAGCCTGATGCTGACAGAATTAATTCCTAGATATTGTATCTAGCTATTACACCTCAAATTAATTTCAAGGGATTGATACTCATAAGTTTACAAATTTCATTGCATAAAACTCCATATTGAAAAATATCACATCTGAATGAGTTATCAAATCAATGTATATGGATGCCTGGGAGCTGCCTCAGTGGTCACACTGTTTGCTGCACAAACATAAGAGTGTGCATTTGAATCCCCAGCACCTACTTAAAAGCCGGTCATGGTCACTTTTGCAACTCATCACTGTAGGGAGGCTAGGGGCAGAGACAGAAGGTTTACTGGGGCTTGCTGGCTGCCAACCTCGCTCTTGTAGGAGACCCTGTCTCAAGGAAACAAGAGGAAATGTGATAGATCAAGACCCTCAACATCTTCCTAGGGCCTCCCTGTGCATGCAGGGCTTGAGGACACACACATGGGCACATATACCACACACACACACACACACACACACACACACACACACAGTTAAAAATAAATAAATAATGGTGTGTTCATTCTGCAGCCAGAAACTAGCCGACAGGATAACAGCACAGCTGAGAACTTCAAAGCCCTTGCTCTCCACGGAGCCATGTTGAAGAGCTGAGGAGAGATGTCTCTGAATACGTGAACCTCCTGAAAGCAACAGAAAAATAGAAAGGCTTCATGTTATTACACACGGGAAAATTAGAAAAGTGAGTGAATAACAGGGTTAAACTTACTGAGCCAGTGTGGACGGATCGTAAGAACAAGAGGTGGCGGGTGATTTTAAGGAAACAGACTTTTCCAAACATAACAGGGCAGATGAACTCACAGAGACTGTGGCAGCATTCACGAGACCTGCACAATATAAAGCCATACAGAAAGGAGGAAAAGTGGGCACGAGGTCTCACCCCTAGCTTAGAAGCAACTCACAAAGAGCAGCAAGTGGAAGAGGGAAAATCCATTCTCTTCAATGGAGTGATTTCTTTTTTAAACTTTTTATTAATTACACTTTATTCACTTTGTATCTCCCCCTATAAACCCCTCTCTCCTCCCCTCCCAATCCCACCTTCCCTTCCCCCTTCTCCACTGTCCCTCCCCAAGTCCACTGATAGGGGAGTCTTCCTTTCCTTCCTTCTGACTCTAGTGTGTTAGTTCTCATCAGGAGTGGCTGCATTATCTTCCTCTGTGGCCTGGTAAGCCTGCTCCCCTCTCAGGGCGAGGTGATCAAAGAACAGGCCAGTCAGTTCATGTCAGAGGCAGTCCCTGTTCCCATTACTATGGAACCCGCTTGGACACTGAACTGTCATGGGCTACATCTGTGCAAGAGTTCTAGGTTATCTGCATGCATGGTACTTGGTTGGAGTATGAGTCTCAGGAAAGACCCCTGTGCTCAGATTTTTTGGTTCTGTTGCTCTCCTTGTGGAGCTCTTGTCTTCTCCAGATCTTAACTATTTCCCACTTCTTTCATAAGATTCCATGCACTCTGCCCAACAGTTGGCCATAAGTCTCAGCATCTGCTTTGATAGTCCCAGAAGCTGGAAACAACCCAGATGCCCCTCAGCTGAAGCATGGATACAGACTGTGGTACATCTACACAATGGAATATTACTCAGCAATAAAAAACAAGGAAATCATGAAATTTGCAGGTAAATGGTGGGAACTGGAAAAGATCATCCTGAGTGAGCTGTCCCAGAAGCAGAAAGACACACATGGTATATACTCACTCATATAGACATACAATATAGGATAAACCTACTACAATCTGTACACCTAAAGAAACTAATCAAGGAGGACTCTGGCTATAATGCTCAATCCCCACCCTGAAAGGCAAAGAGGAAGGACATCAGAAGAAGAAAACAGGAAACAAGTTAGGAGCCTGCCACAGAGGGCCTCTGAAAGGCTCTGCCCTGCAGACTATCAATGGAGTGATTTCAACCATACAACAGGACAAGCCCCATGCTTAGGAGTAGTTGGCCAAACAAACCAGACTCCATATTTTTAGTGGCTTTTTTTCTTTTTCCTACTTTTTTTCCAGAAAGAGAAAGAACTTGAAGCTTGATGGGAAGGGAGGAAGGAGAATCTGGGTGAAGTTGGGGGGTAGAAAGTAATATGGTAAAAATATACTGTATGACATTCTCAAAGAATAAAGTTTTAGTATGACAGGAGTATACTGAAGGCATCTGAAAGACTCTAATTAACAGTGTTTTCAAAGCAGATACAAAGACTCATAACCAAACCTTCAGCAGAGTACAGGGAATCATATGAAAGAAGGGGAGTTAGTATGATAGGGAAAGGATAGGAGCTCCACAAGGACCAAATATATCTGGGCACAGGGTCTTTTCTGAGACTGACATTCAACCAAGGACCATGTATGAATGTAACTTAGAACCTCTGCTCAGATGTAGCCTGTGGTAGCTCAGTAACCAATTGGTTTGCCATGGTAAGGGGAACAAGGACTATTTCTAACAGGAACTCAATGACTGGCTCTTTGACCTCCCCACCCTCCAAGGGAGGAGCAGTCCTGTTAGACCACAGAGGAGGACTTTGCAGCCAGTCCTGAAGATACCTAATAAAACAGGATCAGATGAATGGGGAGGAGGTCCCCCCCTATCAGTGGACTTGGAAAGGGGCAGGGTGGAGATGAGGGAGGGAGGGTAGGATTGGGAGGGAATGAGGGAGCGGGATACAGCTGGGATACAGAGTTAATAAAATGTAACTGATAAGAAAAAAATAAAATTAAAAAAGAATAAAGTTTTAAAGAATAAAAATACTAATTGAGCCCAAAATTAATGGAGCTGACAGGACCAATGCACAAAACAGAGCAGTCACATGGCCAGAGCGGTCTAGATATTGCTACAGCGAAGTGCCGAGGTTGTGTGCTTTTGTAGGATTCCCACAGGTATTTGCCTCACCTAGAACAAGTTTACAAATGACATTCACAGTTTCTTTTACTCATCACCATTTATCCTTTCTATTCCGTTATTTTTTTCCTTTCCTGTCACCTCTTCATTTTCAACACATGAAAACTCTTCAGGCTTTCACTGTTTCCACCCTTTGATGTATTCTGAAGTTGTGTCTCTCTTTCCTGGATAAATATATTTATTCTGTGTGAAACTAATTCCTTTCACAAAAGCCCTAAAATCAATCTCTCTCTCCCGCTCTCTCTCTCCTTTCTCTATAATTCTCTGAGATATACTTTAAGTAACTAAAGGGAAAAAAAATGTCCCTACTTTCTGAATCCTGTAATTGTCACTGGAAATTTTTCAAACAGGAATAGAAAAGAAAATAAGATTTGAAAAAAAAAAAAAAAAGCTGGTGATTTCTTGAAAGAAAGCTAAATGTTCCAGAGAAATATGTGAATATTTGAGAAGATATACTCAATGAGAGTTTTTTAAATGTGGCATTGAATAGGGGAGAATAAATGGATAGTGAAGGAAGTGGGTGGATATGAAGATTTAGCAGAAGAATAGGTGTTGACATTTATATCCCCCAATTTTTCATTTTTAATCAAATGTTTACTCAAGTCTCTTTTGCAGAAAAGCTTTCAAATGATTTGGGTACAGAAAATCTGCAAGACAGCAAAGCTAGGCCGCTGTATGACATGAAACTTACAAATGTAATCTAGCACATAAAAATATTCCCTACTTACATTTATTTTCTATTTTGTCTGTAAAGTTTGCTTCAATAGTCTGTATCATTGGGCTTTTGTCATTTTATAATTATCTCAATCACTTCACTTGTTTTCTTTCAGTGGCTCATATTTACTGACCTCATAGCTACATTCTGCAATTAAAATATCCACCCCTGGAAAGATTTTTAAAAATCAAACAAGCTGATAAGGCTGGTCCCCCAAGGGAGAAGGTGATCAAAGATCCAGCCGCTGAGTTCATGTCAGAGACAGCTCCTTCTCTCCTTACTAAGGAACCCACTTGGAGACTGAACTGCCATGGGCTACATCTGTGCAGGAGTTCTAGGGGTTCTAGGTCATCTCCATGCATGGTCCTGGGTTGGAGTATCAGTCTCTGCAAAGTTCCTGGGCCCAGATTTTTTGGTTCTGTTACCCTCCTTGTGGAACTCCTGTCCTCTTCAGGTCTTTTTATCTATCCCTTCTTTCATAAGATTCCCAGCACTCTGCCAGGCCACCAAGAAAGACAGGGCAGCCAGTCCTGATGAGACTTGATATGCTAAGGTCAGATAGAAGGGGAAGAGGCCCTCCCCTATCAGTGGACTAGTAGAGGGGCATAGGAGGTGATGAGAGAGGAAAAGTGGGATGAGAGATGAGGGAGGGGGCTACATCTGGAATACAAAGTGAACAAATTATAATAAATAAAAAATACAAATAAATAAAATAAATGTGAAGTTAAAGCTTAAA